GGAAGGAGGAGGGGAAGGGGGAGAGGAAGGAGGAGGGGAAGGGGGAGAGGGAGGAGAAGGACGAGCAGATGGAACAGAGGAAGGGGGAGGAGGGGGAGGGGGAGAAGGGGTAGCAAGGGGAGGAGAGGGTGGAAGAGGATGATGCATGGACCAACGAAGCATGCGACGAAACCATTGTGTAAGTCTCGTCACATGTGTAGGCTGTCGACGCTGGCGAGCACAAATATAACAAGTCCATCCTCGAGCCAGTGTTGATGGAACATGGCCATGGGAAAGCAAACGGCGGGCAAGCAAAGCTGCTGCCGTTTTAAAATCATGCCAATTGTCACAAATCTGCTCAAACCTCGTAAGCTGGCCAGTGAACACACCTGCAGGCTGATGAGATGGAATGTTTGACGTTGCACTAGGGTATCGTATAACAGGGAAACACCATGCAACAGTCTTATCATATATATATATTGGAAACAACAGCGGATGTGGCAGGTTTTGAGTTCGTAAAGGCAAAAAAAACATGCGCCGGCAAAGAAGTCAGGCGCCGACTTTGAAACGGCAATTTCAGTCGAAAAGCATCTGTTGGGCTTTTTTTTTCCATCTGACACCACGTCCGACCCCTGTAAAATATGACACCCGGCCTGACAACATGGCCGTGGTACTCTCATTGCCCTTTTCAAACTCGCGCCCGGTTTCTTTGCCAACGTTTGGCCCCCTATGAAACTCTGATGTGATATGGACGTACTTCCCTCTATATATTGTCACATATCTGCAAAACAAACGGTGAAAAGAAGGGGGGGAAAGACAAAACCAGCATGAGGGCACACTGAAACCATATATTTTTCGCATTCTTCTTTTAACTCCCCCTTCACCATGCCTCTCACGTACAAGGCTCACCACATTGATGACGTTGAGTGCGAGCTGCCCTCATCCCCGTGTGCCATACCGGCCCACTTGTACGCTGTGAGAAAGAGGCAGAGTTGAAGGGGGAGGTGATAAACACAGGGAAGAGAGATGAAGAGAAGATGAACAAAGAACGAAATAGGGGTAGTAAGGGAAAGTACGGAATGTGGAATGAAGATGTAGGCAAAGGAGAGGATAAGAAAGGCTCAAGAATGAGTCTGCCCTTGACAACAGAGAGGCCACACATTACAAGGATGAGGTGGATGGGCACACGGAAGACCCAGCTGAGCATTCTCAGCACGACAATTGCCGCAACGGCCGGCATTGAGCATCATGCCCACCATACACTCCCAACAAATGGCATGTCGATTGCAGGCGAAAATGAAGGAAGAACGCTCACCACAAAAGACCATGCATTCGGTATAGCACCCACGGCCGCAAAATAGACATATACTGTCCGGATGCGGAGGGTGCCTGCAATCTGGAACGGAGGGACAGTTCTCTACGCACATTGATGCAGAAACCATGTCATTCTAGTGATTGTGACAGAGACGATGGCGGGTACAGCCAAGTGTAACAGTGCCTGTAGCTGTGCAAAGGAGAAGGTCGCAGAGTGTTGGTACATTGGCCTGGTGCAGCACAGGGCCAGAGGAATGATCTTCGGCATAAAAAAGATTCCGGACAGTTTGGTGTGGCAAGAAAACAGCATCATTACGCCAAAGAGGTTGACAGAACTGATTATTAGGAGGTGTTCAAAAAATATAACTCCCAATCGCAAGGCTATTGAGCTTCACCTTCGATCGATCAGTTGACTGAAAAGACTGCATGAAAAAAAAGAGACTCTCAAAATCTGACAGAAAGAGAAAAACAAATAACTGCAATAACTGCCCATCGAGCAGAACGAACGACTTACCAGCATTACCATCCTGCAACTCCCGGCAAACAAAGGGGCTCTGGGTTGTCTGCCACAACTCACAGACCTCATGCTGACCTGGAAGCCTCTGCCATAGCAGAGGCCTGCCAGTAACGCTGGCATAGGCTGTCCAGTGCAATCGCCGGCAAAGGACAGGCATGCAATGCCATTTCTCTGTCCAGGAAATGATTTCCGATGTCGCTCGCAGCGGTCCGGTCCTTGACACGTACATACACACCAGTACTTTCCAGACTGCAATTACTCTCTGCAAACCCCAGCCCTGAATGTTCCGCAAAAAGGAGTCCCAGTACGTTCAGGACCTTTAGGTACAAGTAGTGTCTGCGAAAACTGCAATCGGAAAATGGAAATGAGCTCAGTTCCCAAGCAACCAGACAAAAAAATGCAACACTTTCACCATATTATCTTATCTGATTCCTATTTAGGATTTTCCCAATCGCCAGATTCTCGTAATCTCTAAAATCTCATCCTCTCTCAAAGACAGCTTCTGCAAAGACAGTCTATCATGCACAAAAGCACATTCATGCAAAAAGCATATATGGGCGTCTGTGCAGCGTGATCGTGTCCATGATCAGCACATTGGCAAACTGTTGCCGACCAGCTCCCATCTTCGCCCACAGGGTAGGGAGACTCTAGTGACATAATAGGAACGAATGGAGTGACAGGATTGGATGGGTGGGTGATAATTTTCCAAGAAGGTGAGAAACCTGGTTTTTGTCGTTTTTTTCCCCCCCCTTGGGCACTGGGCCTGAAGCCTATAGCACAGGATCATTCTCTGAGGTAATTGCAAAAGACCTATGGATACTTGGTGTTTAAAAGCCTCCCAACAACTCCCCTCTGCAAGAAAGGAAAAGGAATCCGTCCCTCCCTGAGATGATTGAAAAAAGAAAAAGAAGAAGAGGTCATTAGGGTCCTGGCTCCTTGTACATGTTGGGGAGTGTCAGTTCGGTGTCAGTCCACCAGCAAGATGAGAAAATGGCGAAACGTACATGAAATGGCCCACGCGATGCTTCCTTCCGTCTACGGCAAAGAGCCCCCGACTGGCATTGATTGTTCTTTAAACGAGGATTAACTGTAAGATGGCCTATGCTTATTTTAAGTTCTATCCCAATCGCAGCATGTGCTGAGACTGTCAAAGTGTCGTGAGTGCCGAACCCTCGCTGGACCTTTGCCTACAGAATTGTCAGGATGTGTGATCTTGTCTCCCAGAGTCGCCACTGGGGGGCAGCCGCCCTGCAACCAATCAATTCCTCCATCTCAGGGTGTCCTTAGCAATATGTGCAATCCCGCCCCTCAACAGCCAGGTCCTCGTCAAGAAAGCCCTCTTCTTGGTCTTGAAATTTTCTAATTCAAGCTCTGCTGTGAGCTTGATGGAGTCCCACCTGCACCAGATTTGTGCTTCTGGCATTTTGAATAACATAAGAGAAGACCATGCTTCCTCCACTGCCGTCACCTCTTTATCGATAGTCTGAGCACATCTTCTCTTCCAGATAGTTTATAGGGTCAACTTCCCAAGTAGTACCGTCTTCACCCGAATACAACGTACGGTCATTATAGCTGTATTTGGGGCAACTTCGAGTCTAGATTCAGCAATAATGACCGTACGTTGTATTCGGGTAAAAACGGTAGGAACCTTCTGTTCTTTATATACGGGATCTGATTCAGAACCTTAGTCGGTGAAACTCCGACAAAACAGTCTGTCACAGCCCCTCGTTTGTTGTCCTGCTCTCTGCAATGAACCCAGTCAAATGAGAAGCTCGTCGAACTACAAAAGGTCTTGGCGCAGAATCAATGTCTCCAAAATCGTTTGTGAGACCCACACTCATTGTCCACGTGGCATCCCACTGTCAAGTGCTCAGAAAGAAGGAGAGGAGAGAGGGAGATGAGATTTAAAGAGGGTACGAGAGAGAGTTTCCACCATCATCGTTGAGCAGATAACACTCGCTGCCCACTTTAAGAGAGAGAGTTTCCACCATCATCCGTTGAGCAGATAACACTCGCTGCCCACTTCCTCCTCGGGCGTATCTCCCAACTCGCCATGTTAGCAACAGTTCCTCCCTGGCAATCTTTGGCAATAAGCAGGTTACGGCATGGCGCCTATCCTCCAGCCACGTCAGCAGTGGTCACCGAGGATGGTGCAGACTCTTCCTCCGAAGACTAACAATAAAGAACAATGTTGACACAATCAACAGGTAAGCTTCCCCTCCTCTATCGAACCAATCTCACAGCCATGATCACTCCTCCTCCTCGCCTATTCCATCAATGTCAGAATCAGTATGGCACCGCAGCCATGTCAGCAATAGTCAAGTGCACAGCTGGTGCCGTAGACAGAGAATAGCGCCAGCATAAAGCTCTGGCAGTCCTGCATCATCACACCAGCGTCGAGGCAGCATCAAGCCAGCATCAAGCCAGTGTCTAGCCAGCGTCAAGCCGCATGTGCAAGACTGAATATTGTCCATCAGGGGCTGGGTCAACTTATAGCGTTGACGTGCGTTGACCAGCCTCCGGTCTCTCGTATACGATGGCCCAGATCGCCCATCAGCCAATGGCCTGGATCCCGTGCAGTTGCGGCAACCGATGTAACCCACTTGGGATTGGTCTCTTCCGGATACCTACAATCAACAAGAGGCGTATCTGATCTGTGGCCGAGGCTGGGATCAGGTTAACTTTGACTCGTGGGCCTGAATCCCGAGCTGAGGTTGATCGTTGACTTTCCGCAAGGTCAACTGTCTCGCGCTGGGCCTCTGAAGGCCTGCTTGGCCTGGCCTGGGGTTCCCCTTAGCGGTAGGCCTTTGTTCAGGCCTTTTCACGACTTTGGGCGGAACCTTTGACCCACCTTTTCGGGCCTTTGACCAAAGTGACGACCTACAGCCCACGGCTGATGCATATTTGAGCTGAGTTATTGCACTCTCCCTCTCTGCCTACAGTTTACCGGGCAGTCCTGCATAAAAACATAAATATATAGTCTGCTGACTCTGCTTTGATTTTCGTCACAGGTACCTTGAGGGCAGTGGTTGGTGCCCGCCTCAGGGTATCAGTTGTCGCGCAGTTGTTGATGCTTAACCATAGCCGAGGTTGGATTATCACTTACAATGTAATCGGTTAGGGGATTCTGCAGACTGTTGAGGGTTCAGCCTCCTGACGAGTCGGTGAAACTCCGACGAAACAGTTTGTCACAGCCCCTCGTTTGTTGTCCTCTTCTCCCTCTCTGCCTACGGTTTACCGGGCAGCTCTGTTTGACGATATATAAAGTGTTACCCAGCCAAACGTTCAGGGGGGGGTTGGACTCCCCCCCACGAACGTTCAGGGGTTCAGGCCGAAGTTCGGGCCCCATCCAACCAGGGTGTTCAGGGCTAGGAACCAATTCTTCTTACACCCGTTCAAGGAACTAGGGAATCTTACAGAAAAGAGGACAGTCATCAAGGAGGAGGTGGGATGGGGGGAGAAAAAGAGGATAACCCATAAATCCTTGACCTCAGCAAGCAGTGGGCGTACGTCCTCAGAGGTGTCAGTTGTGCACATCGTGCAGATATCAGTGCTGTTGGGGTCTGAGGGTCTCATTTTCTCATGGATTGATTGATTGACCGGTGGAGCAGCATAGGTGATCAGCCATTGCAGGATTCGGATTTTAGTAGGTTTTCAATTGATTCTAGAAGTTTTTCCCCGGAAACTGAGGTCCTGTCTAACCATCCAATTTTGTTTTGTTCAAAGGACGCTGACGAGCGGAAAAAGGGATTTGAACCCTCAACCTGATCGTCTGGTATGTTTCTTGCCCATGGAATAGTAAAATCAGAGGTAGGAGCCAGACTCAAAATTATTTTCCACTCTTGTTGACGTTGGTGTTGGGGTCAATAGTCATAAGTGCTAAATCGTACCCGGATTTGACATTGGAATTGGATAGGGGTAGGGTCTTCTTGAGAGACTTCTAAGACCATAGCCATTATTTTGGGTCAAATCCGAGTTCAGCGATGCTTCTATTAGGGTTGAAGACCATCCAGGGTCTGAGAGTGGACACATGCACATTCCTGAGTAAGAAAGAGTCGAGGACCTCTATTTGCAGGTTCGGGTTACAAATATCCAGATCAGGTCTATTCTAAGTGGAGGTGGGTAAGGAGATGAACTTCGCAGCCCTAAACCCTTTTCTCCGGTTGTCGACTCCGAGCGGGTCGGGCTGCGAAATCATAATCCCCCAGTTACTCCCCCCTTCCCCCCCCCCCTCCCTACAATTGCCGTGTCTAGTCTTCTTTCCACGGTTCAGTCCAGGACTGAGGGATGCTTTGCTGCATGGCCGCAAGTTTCTCAGATAGGAGATGGCATCCTGTTTAGGGGGTTCGCATAATCTGTTCTGGTGCCCAGTCCTTCATATCATTGGATCGCATGCGATGTACCCTCCAGACTCCCTTCTCTACCCAAATGATAGCCATCTGTGACCGTCAGAAGTCAGTGACCACGAGAGGCCACCCTCATTATTATCTACTGTTTGCAGAACAGAGGCTGCCTGAGTACTTCTTTATTGTTGCTCGGTTTACCCCGCTTGCCTGGGCGGAGCTTGCGACCAGCTGATAGAACTGAGGGGAGGACTTGGGCTTGTCGCATTTCGCTCGTTCTTTTTGGTTTTCCTGTTTTGACATTACCCAGACAGGTACCATCCATGCAAGAATCACCGAGGAACTTGCGCGCACTTATGAGTGAAGCTGGAAAATCAACCTTTGAGGTCTACACTGGCCAATTCAGAGGGTTGTGCAGATGCGAGAGTCATTGGAGGCAGGTTTTGAAAATGATGATAAACTTCCGTGTTATGTTCATCCGGAAGCAGAGGGGGTTATCTATCGTATCGTACCTCATGGATTCCATTTTCCTCTTGACATTTCTCACAACGCCCAAGTCTTTTTTGGCTCAACGTCGTCAATCGACCACAAGACACTAGACGCCGCTGTTTGCAATTCCGTTCCATCCTCCAATTCCATGGCATGCTGGAACATGGAAAAGAAGCAAGCAATCAAGACCCACTGATCAGAACAACATCAGAAAGTGAAAAATGATGAATCAAATTCAATAATGCAAAACTTCAAAGGACCAATCACACAACAAGCTGGTTGTCCACTGCCAAAGCATTGCAGCACTTGCACCCACTCAATTACACTTGGCCAGCTGGATATGAGAAAAAAAAGATTCAGAAAATCTGGATATGAGATCTTAAAAAAAAAAAAAAAAAAAAAAAGATTCAGAAAATCTGGATATGAGAAAAGAAAGATTCAGAAAATGAATTCAAGCTGCCAGCTCCATAAGTACATCACAAAGTGAGTTGACGAACGAAATTGAAATTGCGCTCTGACAAAACCAAACACACAAACACAAAGCGACACTGTCCTTTGCCAGCAGAACAAACCCAGCCAAAAAGCACAGATTCGGGAAGTCGGAGATGAAAAGAATGTGGACAGAAGCTGAGAGACTCAACTTGTAATTGGCCTTGTCAGCAAATGTGGACAGAAGCTGTGAGACTCGACTTGTAATTGGCCTTGTCAGCAAATGCCCCCAGCCAAACGCACAGATTTGAGAAGTTGGAGACGAAAAAAGTGTGGGTAGAGAAGCTGAGACTTGGCTTGTAATTGGTCTTGTGAGCAAATGCTCTCACCCAAAAAGGACAGATTGGAAAGTGTGGATAGAAGCTAAGACTCGACTTGTAATTGGTCTTGACAGCTCAATAATTAAGAGTGAGACCTTGGAACATCCCTTCTGATTTGATTGGGCTTGTCAACGATGGGGGATTCTATTTTAATTTTTCGTTAAACCACCAGTACTTCCTAAAGTCGTGCCCGTTAACGCTATGCGACTTTAGGAAACGTACGGGCCACTACAGGAGCGCCCAAATTCATCCAACTAGAAACGTTTCTACTCTATTTTTTTCCGCCGCCGATAGCTGGGCCAAGTACTGGTGGTTTAAAGGTGTGACCCCAAAGATTACTATCGTATCCATCAGGATTTGAAGGCACGGTCCATTTGCCACACGGCAGGTATGCAATGGGGGAGTTTGAAAGAACATACAGGCCGTAAATTGAAAAACTGATTCAAAAATTAATAGGAACCATCCATGGGATGGGAGGTACCAAGGTGTCATCATTTCCCCAGCTGGTTTCTGCAAATGTGTAAGCCTGCAAGTTTCAGATGTACGTTTCCTTTTTTCTTTTTTTTCCCCCAATATCATTGGGTCCCATGTACAGCGGATCAGATATTAAAACTGATCAGTAGTTCAGAACAGATACTACACTTGTCAATGATCTATTTTTAGCCAAAAAACCGAAAAATATAAAGGTTTGATGGGCATGGCCCCCGAAAAAAAAAAAAAAAAAAAAAAAAGGAGGATGGGCGAACAGGGTAGGAGGACACAAATCCACAGAAGGCCTATTCGCTCGTGTTCGTTTCAGCTTCCAAGGGTAAAACCACCAGCGTACCTTTCCTCCATATACCGGCTGCGGGCAGAAAAAAAAAAGTCCCCAAACGGAAAAAACGGGCCGCCTAACAAATTTATAAACGGCGGCCAGATCCCGCTCGACTTCCGTGTAACCCGGCACGGAATTGATTCTCAAGCCGGGAAAGGTACTGCTGTATGTGAGGATATTTGAGTATCCTCACATACAGGTCTCAGAGAGGTCCTGGTGAGTGAGCGACGGTACACTTAAATCTTCCCTGCCTGCCAGAGGCTTCCACGCACGGGCAGCAACGACCTGGATAATATCCCCCTGTGAAAACAATTGGGGATACAAAACACAAAACCCTCCAGTTGTGCTCTCCATAAGAGGACTTTTTGTGATGTCCGTCATCAGTACTATGGCCCAATCTTCGCACTGTCGGCTGATCCCCCGATTATCAACCGTTGGCAGACTTGGGATCGATCCTTACGTGTCACCCAGCCAATATGCATTATTGTTTTTTGTTTTTTTTTTACTTCTTTCTTTTTCTTCTTTTTCCATGAAATAGTTCCATTTTCTAATATGCATTGTTGTTAAAACCCTCCAACTGTTAAGATCAATTATTGTATCCCTCTGATTTGAAAGGTACACATATGCAAACTGTTGGTATTACAGATAACGAGTTCGAATCCTCACCAAATCAGAGGGATACAAATAATGTTATCGGGGCTACCCTCTTACAAAAAGGGATCCTAAGAGGTCCCCTCACCTTGGAATTGCTGCCTGACTGCAGGCAGGCAGACAATCTCTACACTGAAAATGCGTGAATGAGCACCTCGCATGCCTACAGCTCGCTGTTGATTTGCTAACCGATTAACTGAGAGTAGAGTAGACATGATAAACATCCCCGCGGACCATTGTATGTGGTCACAGTTGCCATCTACAGTAGCCAGCTTCTGCCCCCAAGTGTGCGTACTCAGTGGAATTAACTCTCTGAAATCTCTTTCCAATTGCATTTGTCATCAATGATGATCTCTCATTTCCTTGGTATGGGACATCAGTCGTTTACTAAAATAGCTCGGTGGCACTTCAGTGTATAGAATGAGACTTGCTATGGGACATCGTACGGGACTTCCCCCTCTATAGAGTGGGACTTCAATCCATAGAATGGGACTTCAGTCGGAATGGGACTTCAGTCTATAGGATAGAGCTTCGTATGGGACTTCAGTCCATAGAATAGGACTTCGTATGAGATTTCGGTATAGAATGGGACCCCAGTCTATAGAATCGAAGTTCATATGGGACTTTCAGTTCTCAGAATGGGACTTCAGTTTATAGACTATACCTTAGTATGGAACTTCGGTCTGGAGAGTGAGATTTTGTATGGGACTTCAGTTCATAGAATGGGACTTCGGTTTATATACCACACCGTCGTATGGAACTTCAGTGTGTATAGAATTGCCAGACGCATGACATTGTATGGGGCATGCACTATACCTCCTTTAGTCGCCGACGAAAACTGACATAAGAAAGCTAATCGCTAATCTGCCGGACGTTGTTCGTCTCTGTTCAGCGTGCTGCAGAGTCTGATAATGTAGGTGGGAAACAGAGGCAGGAGGTTGGGGCGTAACAGAATCTGACAAGTAGTCTGACAACTACCGTCTTCACCCGAATAGAACGCCCTGTAATTATCGCCGTATCTGGGCTGCAAGTTGTGCCAAATACGGCTATAATGACCGGCCGTTCTATTCGGGTGAAGACGGTAGTCTGACAAGATGTGATCATAGCAAAATGTCTGACCAGATCGGGTACTCATCATGTAGGTTTCCTACACACATGATGACCTTTCCTGGCCTCTATCCACTTTCGTCTGACAAGATGAGATACTAAGATCTCTGACAAGGAGCCTGACAAAATCAGATAGTCCTCTTATGTTTACATCTTTTCGTTTTCCCTTCTTTTCCTTTTTTTCCTTTTTTTAGTTTTTTTATTTCGTTTCGTTTTTTTCGTTTTTTTCGTTTCTTTCCGGTTTTTTTTTGCACTTTTTTTTCGTTTTTTTCCCTTTTACATGTTTTCGTTTTCCCTTACCTTCCTTTTTTTCGTTTTTTTCCCCTTTTACATGTTTTGGTTTTCCTTTCTTTTCCTTTTTTTCGTTTTTTTGATTTTTTGTTTCGTTTCTTGTTTTTAGGTTTTTTTGGTTTTTTTTTTTTTTCGTTTTTTTCACTTTCGAATCTTTTATTCCGTTTTTTTCCCGTTGTTTCCCCCTTTTTTTCTCGTTTTTTGAACCTTTTTGAACTTTTTTCCATTTTTTTTTGGCTCCAACCTATTCGTGTGGAGCAGCACGTGCTGGGAACGGGCCCAGCGCCCCTTGTGAAATTTCCTTCTTTTTTTTTCTTTTTTTTTCTTTTTTTTTCTTTTTTTTCCAACAAATTTGGACCATGCTAATCTTTTGTGTATCGTTCCAATTTTAACTGATGTCCCGAAGGGACTTATGAAATTTCAGATCAGATTATATTTTATTTTCCAGATCAGATGTATTACATTTTCCAGGAAAGACGAATATTAACCTCCGTTGCCGAAAACTGTGGCCGGCATCCACAGCTGTCGCGAAAGAGCCACGTGGCGAGGATTCAGCCATCGCTGGCTGATTAAAAAATGAAATAAAGGAAGGACACAACGAAAACAACGAAGACACAGAAGAGAGAAGGCAGACGAACGCGAGGAAAGGTAGGCAATTGTGATACCCATCATCATCATCATCATCATCATCATCCTAATCATAATCACCACCACGATCCTCGTCGTCCTCCTCCTCCTCCTCATCATCATCATCATCATCATCGCAATCCCCATTATTACCTTCAACGAACGAATCGGATGATCAATTGCCACTGCCTTCACCAGCAGCCGACTTCCATACGTGCAATTGTCGATCGTAGAACGAACACGTGGCAATCAACGAAGACGTCGATGATGATCTCTCTCCATCCTCTTCAATCTCCAGGTCATCATTACGCAGGTCACTATCGCTTCGCATCATCTCCTTGCTGACGTGGACATCACCAGCACCCTTCTTCTTGGAAGAAGCTCTCGAGCCAATGCCAGCAAGATTTACACATCGACTGCGGCTCCAATCTGCACCATAGCCGAGAGACTCATGTGCCATGTAGGTCTCGGCAATTTCCACGTGGCAGTTCTTCAGTTCCCCCTCCCCCTCCCCCTCCGTCTCCCCCTCCCCCTTCCCTTTCACATCGAGAATGGCAAATCCATTGTGCATCAGCGCGCAGAGGATGCGATCGGGGTCCCAAGGGTGCCATTTCACCCTCCACACGCCGCCTCCTGTCGGGACCGAGTGAACCAGCGTCGGTCTCCCGACCATTCTCAGGTCCCACAACCTCACCTTTTCGTCATAACTCCCCGTGCAAATCACGTGCTCGCGAAATGGGCTGCTCTGGATGGAGCACACGCCCATCATGTGCGATTTCACATCCTTAAAGATCGGACGGTCGGGACCGGTGCGGCACCTGAGATCCCATCCTTTGAAGGCGCAATCGTCGGCCCCCGAGTACAGCGTCCAAGGCCGCCACGTGTCGAAGGCCACAGTCCAGACCTCAAGCAGATGGGCAGACCAGGTCAGATCAACGCGGGCATCAGACGGACCCACGTGGACGATCGAGATCGATCCGTTGGATAGGCTAACGGCAATATCCAGGTCATCCCGATCCCGATCACAGACAGCAGCAGCAGTAGGATCATTCCGTGGGATAGGCAGGCGGTGGTGTCGGCGGGATCCCGCTCCCGATCCCAGCTCCTCCTCCTCCTCCTCCTCCTCCTCCTCCTCCTCCCCCTCCGCGCCGCTTCCGCCGCCGCCATCGCCGCACACGTCTGACCTATCAACCCCATATCCACGGAGATGATTCCAATCAAGCGACAGACACATGGCACCAGAAGAGGAGCAGATGACTTTGGCGGTTTCAGAGAGTCTGAAGCTATCCACGTCATCACTAATTAGTCGGTAAAACGAGACAGAGCCATCGGCGCTCGCTTGGGCCAAGCACGGCCGCCCGGCGATTTTAGTCGGCGCCCATTTCAGATCGAATATTCCAGAGGTCGATTGAACATATTGCTTCTTCACCAAAATCTTGTGAGATGTAGTGTTTATGTCCGCTGATTGACCACCATCTTCCTCTTCTTCTCTCCCATGGCCATAGCCGTCGTCTAGATGCTTCTTCTTCTCGCTCACACCATACAGATACAGATTGCCCTCTCGCCTTGACTTGCCGGCATCACCACCATCACCACCATCATCATCAGATTCATCACCATCTTCTCCTTCTTTATGTGTTTCTGTAATTAGAGTGTACGTGCCAGCTGCCAGCACGTGCTCGTAACTTTCAATAGGACAGAATTCCACACTGTCTGCATTTCCGTCCAACACGTGGACATACGCCGCCGCCGAGATCTTGGCCTGCGGCGCTCCACACTTAGCCGTTGACGCCATCGGCAGCACTCAACGAACTCAGCAGAGCTGCTGCTGATGCTGCTGCTGCCACAAATCACCGAGAACGTTAAAAAAAAAAAAAAAATCCCGAGCTGCTGCTGATGCTGCTGCTGCCACAAATCACCGAAATCGTTTAAAAAAATCATAATAATAAAAAGACCAAGTCGTCCAATACAGTTGCAAGTTGCAACTAAAAAAAAAAAGGGAAAAAGAAAAAGCATGAGCCTAGTTCAGTGGGTACACCCATCAAACGTTAAAATATAGTGCCTCGCCATACCACTCTCGAAATGTGAAAACGACAAAAATGTGGCGGGTGCATCTGGCCATGTTCTAGCGGCAAGTTCATTCTCATTTTGCGCATTTCGAGAGTGGTGTGGCGATGCTCATACAGACCAGTGCTCGAACCCAAATGATGGAACTTGATGAATAAAACCAAGTATTTACGAATTGCCTGGGGCCGGTCAGCTCAACTATGATATCTCAAGGCCGTCGCCCTTTCAGGAAAAAAAAAGGGAACAAAAAAAAAAAAAAAAAAAAAAAACACGGGAATCGCTCATTACCTCCTTTCCTGGTATAGCATAACTGCCCGGTAAACCGTAGAGGGAGAAGAGGACAACAAAGAAGAGGCTGTGACAGACTGTTTCGTCGGAGTTTCTGTTGCGGCTCCGCCCCGCGAAAAGCATGCAAAAATTTTGCAAAACCAAAAACAAAACATGATGGGTGTGCTGGCCTGAGTGCAGTTGGTTAGCAACTGCCCTGTTGTGTCCGATGTACCTTCACATGAATTACCTCGTCAGCAACTCTCTCTCTCTCTCTCTCTCTCTCTCTCTCTCTCTCTCTCTCTCTCTCTCTCTCTCTCTCTCTCACACACACACACACACACACACACACANTCTCTCTCTCTCTCTCTCTCTCTCTCTCTCTCTCTCTCTCTCTCTCTCACACACACACACACACACACACACACACACACACACACACACACTGCAAGGCTGGTGTGAGTAAAGTCGACCACTTTTCGCCGCGGTGTCGCCAACTCTGGGCGATGTGGTGACTCGTTATCCATCAGTGAAATGAATCCTGGGCAGACTGTCTGTCCAGGTTCAACCTCCTGATGAGTCGGTGAAAGTCCGACGAAACAGTCTGTTCGGCACAGTCATGCTTTTTTTGAGTGCATAGCGAATATGACCACACACACACACACACACACACACGCACACACACACACACACACACACACACACACACACACGCACACACGCACGCAGTTACACGCACAGAAACTCATAGTTCAAAGCCCACAAAGAAACGAAGTCAACAGACATGAATGATAAAGCAGGGTCAACTCACCTTCAGTCACCGTGGCGCGAAAGCCTCGACGCAATGCATAGTCCAAGCCTCAGCGTCCAACCTGCAGATCGAGTGTCCAACCTCAAGCAAGTAAATGAGCTTAGTAACAACTCTAGGGGGCGTGTTATGCGTGCGTGTGTGGGGGGAGGGGTGTTCTCTGTGGGTATGTTTGTGCATGTGTTTGTGTTGTCATGTTCGCTAAGCACAACTCCACGAAAAAAAGGAGCGTGTGTTTGTGTGTACGTGTTAAAGTGCGTCCACCGTAGAGCAAAGTCGAAGTAGACCGTACCAACGAAGTATTGGTAAAAAAAAAAAAAAAAAAAAAAAAAAAACGTAGTAGCATAGCAAAGTCGAAGTCTACATGGCCGGTATCCTGCAGGCTCGAGGGGCCGTAAAAACACGGCTCTGGTATGCTACGGGTTTCCCCGTATGCCTATAGGTAGGAGTAGTGGTAGGTAGGTAGTGTGAGGAAAAAATTGAGAGGAAAAAAAAAAAAAAAGTCGAAGTCTACAGCGTAGAAGCGTAGAGGAGAGTAGCGACGTCAAAGTCGAGAATAGTGTAGTCCGAGAGCAGAGAAGGCAAGTGGTGGGGGAGGAAAACAAAAGTCGAGGTCGGGTGTTGAGGGGCGGTTCTTTCCCGCGCTGCCTCCCAAAATTGAAAACGCCCAGAACTTCAGGAATTTCGTCAAGGCCCCTCTACGGAGCATCCTCCGGTAGAGTTCTTGCCAACGGCTACCCCTCTTAGGGTCTGATCCCACCACTACACTACGCAAGTAGTGACGAAAAAGCACTACAATAGTGCCAGCGTCAGCTACGGGCCCGGCTACAGAAAGCGGATCCGACGACACCGACTTTCTCGGTGGTTTTCCTGGACCCGCGGCGACTTTCCGTGGGCTGCATTTTTAGGGCAGACATTTCCGTTGTACCGCCAGACGACATGTCACACGCGCATGTGGACCTCGGACGTTCCTAACGGGCTGGACGGACAACTGAAAAAAAAAAAAAAAAAAAAAAAATTGTTCCATCTTTTTCGCGGCCGTTGTGCCCAAACCGTCTACACAAAAAATGTAGTAACTTTGCTCGAGCCCTTCGCGGGCGTGCTACGAAATGCGTGCAAAATATTTCGGCGAACTCCACAACCGTAGTGTAGTGGTGGGATCCCGAAACTACAGTGTAACACGTTGTGGGATCCCAAAACTACAGTGTAACTGGGCTGTAGTGTAGTGGTGGGATCAGACCCTTAGGCCCCCTCTGGGGAGGCTCTGATCCAAACGCACATGAACCCGCACAGCGCACCGATTCAGCCACCCCGTTAACGGCCTAAAAACGTGGAGGTGCTGGTGGTTTCGGCCTTTAGGGTCTAATCCCACCACTACACTACAGCCCAGTTACAGTGTGGTTTTCGGATCCCACCATAGAAGGCATAGACCCTTCTCTCCTATTGGACTAGGCGACTTGGCAGTCGGATGGTCGCCGTACTTGGGGCTGATACTGGCAGAATTGCAGTGGTCTCGGAAAATAGGGAAGATTACGAATTACCCTGGAGAAGCTACTAAATTGGCAGTCCTTGCTGACATATCATCCGCACCAGGGTACTCCTGAGGACCAGGTTCTTCTTCTTGGAGGCTTGAATAACACGGCAGCTGAATATTGGGGTCCGAGGCACCCCTGGGCTCCCTTATTTCAACAAGGCTCATTGGGGCCTGAACTACCGCAGCAGTCCCATCGGACTGAACCCCGTATAGGGGTGGCCAGTATTGGGCCGAATCAGGCAAGGAAGGCGCAAGGCAGAAATTCACACCTTGGGAGGGCCCGTCCAAAAATAACCGAGGACTTGCTATTTCTAGCAAGGTTTCATTGGTCGGACCTGCTCTTTTGTCCTTGGCTTGCTCCCCGTCTGCGACTGCGGCGCCGCTCCGTTCTCCGTACCTGCAACATTACAGTCGGCTTCAGTCAGTCACCTCACAGTATGGTAAAACTCGTTCACCAGCTCGAAAGTGGCAAGATCCGTAATCAGGATAATCCTTTTCACTTCCATAGCTTTCCTTTCCAGGTAAGTTGCGAAAATTTTACCTTGACGCTTTCTATTTTGTCTTTTCTTCTTTCGGTGAAAGTAAGTTACGGCTAGAAGGTGTTTCGTAACTTAGGATGACTTGATTTTGGGCGACTGCTGCCCCACCCATCGCTAGTTGATCTTTCTTGCCGAACAACGGTCTGTTGCGAACCTAATCGCTACGCTGTCGAGCGCATCGGTCCGGCACCGCACGTGGCAACGCGGGACCCTCTCGGCCGCGTCATGCAGGAGTTGGACCAACCTCGTCACGGACACACAAATGGAGCTTCCTTAGGCCGCTCCGGCTGAGTGCGCCAGCCATACCTCTCGCAAGCCCCTACGACAGGATAGGGCCTACGCGAGGCACGACTTACCTCCACCTTACGGGAGTTGTCACCTCCCTTCGGTGGGCGTATCCCCGTCTAGCCACCAGTCCACAGTACGAAAGCTACTCGGTTGCAATCGTAGAGGTGGACCAGCCAAGGGCGTTTCTCGTTCACTGTAGCATAGGGCGTACGCGCGGTAATACGCCTATCGGACCCGCACGCGGGCCGACATCTTGGGGGGCTGAAGTCCCAAGCGTGGCTCAACGTCGGTCAACTAGGACGCATCCCACACACCACACGCACACCACTCTACGAACACAAAAACAATACATACGTGCGCACACATTGCACAAACGACACAACACGAACAACGCGACAACGCTCCTAGTCCCTCGGTAACCAACCCATAACTTTCCGATGCGGAAATTGGATGGGCGCCGCGCGCGAGACTTAGTATAAAAAACCGCGCGGACGCAGGGCTAACTCCTATCGACTCGCAATGCAAACCTACGCAAGCAGTCGCAATGATGACGTATTATGTCGTGCCCATAATCGTGCGGCCCTCGTTAATTTCGAGGGTCGCATTCGACACTCAGGTGTCGGCTGACACACGCCTTGAGGGTTAATCTCTCGACGCTGGACAACCGTCGTGCGCGGTTGGAGACCACACCCTCTTCTGCACCCTGTGCAGAGGGGTTGAGTAGACAGCTTTAAGTTGTCGTGACGGTCGAACATCAAGGGGTTTGACTTTGACGGCCGCCACGGACTATAACGTCCAACTATGAAAACGCAAAAAGGGGACTCACCCCAACCCCCATTAGCTGGTGGCCTTCAAAAATGGAACGGGGGTGGATAAGCCCAAACGACGCGCGCGCGGAGGAGGTCCAGTATCCTACCCATAGGCTACCCGACGTCCGGGATAATGAGGCCCGTACACGGATTCCCGAAGGCTAACCGGGGCTAGTCCTCTGCCCACGTGCCGCTTCACGTTACCAAGACCCCAAGTTTACTGGCCGTGTCGCGCTCGTGATCTCGCCGCCTGACCCATAACTCCTTCTCTCTTGCCTGACTCAGCCAATGAGTATACACGAACAGGTTGCACAACTACTTCTCTCTTCCTTTTGGGCATATGACTAGGCCGTTCATCTTAGAACAAGGCTTAGTCGCCAGAACTGTTTAATATCCAAATTATATATACTTCTCTGAGCTTAGTATTCAAAAGTTGGGCATAAGACTGAGCGGTTCATCTTAGAACAAGGCCCAGCTTGCCCTGGGTTACCTTAAATTATACTCTTAGTTATACTCTCTTCATTTCATGATAAGCTATAGCCAGACCGTCCAATCTTATGGAACCCATGCCTGACTAGCCTGTTCATAAATAGGATAATATAAAATATAGCCAAAATTTAACCTTTTGGGTTCCAACATATGCGAGGCATTGGGCCAGACCGTCCAATCTTATGGAACACATCTGGTCCTTTGCCAGGTTCGTTTCTCTCTGATCTACTGTGTA